TGAGCATAAAAATATTTCACAGGTTTAGGTGTTCTTCAGCTTTGTTATCTATTTACATTTTTTAGCAATAAACATATATTACTTTTTAATACAAAGGAACCAACATATTCTATTTTTTAAAAAAGCTGTACCTACATGGGGTAAGAAAATGTTCTAGAGAGTGTCTGCTGGCAAATAAAAAAAGCAATAATTAATAGCAGTGGAAAAGGGCCACTTGGTTACAAATATGCATAGAGTAGTACACCAGCATGAGGTAAGTTTATTTTTAAAGAGTTGAGAAATAAATCTGTGCCAACATATACATTTGAATCCTAACCACACTCTCAAAACAATCTGATATAATAGTGTGCTTGTCATTATTCAGATGCTTGTATTGTCTCCTCACCCCAGTGTTATTTAGGAATCAACTGCAGCAATGGGACAATTAGGCATTTGAGAAGCTAAGGAAAAGCTTCAACAGTCTTCTTTTGAGATGGTGAACTCTTTACCAAGTAAAGTAACATGATCCTGGCACATTTAGGTCTTCTTGTGTTATTCTTGTTTTGGCCAGTAAAAGTGAAAGAAAAGAAAATATGAGCTGTCTTTTCTTCTATGAACTTGCTTTCCAGCCTTACAAATAGTTAATCCCTTCGTTAGTTGATCTCCAGCCTTCTCCTCGGTGTGATATTACCAGTTCTTTCCTTAGATTGCCCATGACATGGTTTATTTGCATATTCTGCTTTCTCAACACTCTAAATATTTCTAAAATCACACTGTTATCCCATCTGGAAATGGCATCTTCTTATTAGTAGGGCATAGACACTTGAAAGCAGTTACTTGCATATCTATATTTCTTACAGAAATTACACGAAACTAGTGGTTGCTAGAATGCATATATAGGAGAAGAAAGAACCTGTCATCCTCTGGCCAAATGATGAACCTATTTAAGTGACATGTTGGTTACATTTCTAATGATGTGTTAAATTGGCCTTAGGTAACCAGGTCATAAGGTTAGTGGAGAGCAATATTAGTTAGGGAAGAGTTTTGAATCTCCTGAAGTGATAATCTCCTTCTTCCCCTTTAAAGGAAGCCAACAAAGGCACATATATCAACTGTGTAAAATTTAAAACATCTAGAATTTAAAATTTGCTTATGCATTTTAGCCTCATTTTGTGGCCTATGACAGTCTCCTTACATTTTCACTTCAAGATTTACCTCAAATTCTGTTCATTTGTGAAATTAAAACTACCATAGTTCTTAATGACATTGGAATAAACAAAAGACATTTCCTTTCATAGAGTCTTATAATTTTTCCTTCTGGAAAGTAAATGGAGAGATGGATATCACTTTTCCTTGAGACACAGGGAAAATTTAATTTGGAAGTAAAATAATGAGAGCAATCCCACAAGTCATGCAGGTAAATACATTTTATTACTTAAAGGTCACCTTGAATTTTAGGTAATGACAGAAGATATGTTCATTTCCCAGTCTTCAAATCAAGATACCCAGGACCAAACCTGAAATTTGCTAGGAGTCTTGAAATAAAATACCTGCTCCCATTTCCTACAAGTCTCCTATGTTTTCTCCTACTGGAACCCTGATTCAAAATATCAGCAAAATTTCTGATTTATGTTTTATTTTCTGTCCACAACCAGTTAGTCATTAAATAGTCTTGAATTTTCTTTTGAAATGTGTTGACATTTGTTCTATATCCTTCACAGGCATTGACATGTCACTGCAGACTAAACCCTTCTCATTTCAACTGTCAATTAACTGAAGTATTCTATTTGATTAAAAATAAATAATAATCGATAGAATATTTAACAAATATTCTATCTATGTATTAAACCACATGATGGTAGATAGACTATTGCTCTCTCATGGACTGGAAATAGCAAACATCATAAACCATAAAAAATAATGTAATTGTGGCAGAAAAGCTGAAGCAAATGGAAATCTTCTAAAATAAAACTACTTATTTCAGCAACTGCAATGTTTTCAAATATATTAATAGGAGAGCTTACAAAACTCAGGTTGATCTTTTCATAGTATTCTGGAAAGTAGTACATGCATGCACTTGCCATGTCAATTATGATACATTTTGTGGTCAATTTGTATCAATTTGGACCTGTAGAGTCTTGATTATTTAATACATTTTATTTGTTATAAACATCAATACTACTAATATTACTACTAACAATACAGTTTTATTTTGAGGAACCTGTAATTCAGTTTCAGTTAGTCCATCATTTTCCATACTGCCTAGTGCTGCCATTTACCATTAGAGTAGAAGGGTCAAGTGTGTGCATGAATTTGAAGGAGGTATAGTGTTTAGGGCTGTGTGTGTGTGTGTGTGTGTGTGTGTGTGTATTCTTTTAGTGGTTTTAGCAAAAAGGTAGACTTGGGAGAAGATGAAGAAATAAATAGGAAAAATAAGTTGAGGAGAAACTAGGTGAATTCCTATGTATCAGATATTGACTATACTATTAGAAGGAGGAGCATTTGAAAATTATAAACTATTATATTTTGCTTTTTCTAAATTCATGGCATCTCTCTAGTCAGTTATGCATCTATCTGCCAGAGAGCACATATGTGTAGAGATTAGACATGTTACAGAAGGCATTTAAACAGAAAGAAAAAAATGCAAAATAAGATTATGTATCAAGACAATAGCTTCATAAAACAAGCTATTGCCCTGAGAAAGGATTTTCCAAATTTCTTATTCTCCTCTTTTAGCATATTAAAAGCTTAGCATTGAGCTCCTGAAATTGAGCTCCTGGTATATAAAAGGTTTGTGTTAGGCTTGCTGCTATTGGTCTGCAGAAGGCTATGATTTAGCACAACTTACGAACTAGTCTACCTTGGAATAATGGAAAGAAGACAGAGAAGGAAAAAAGTCAGGTAGTCATGAATCTAGGGCTTTGGCCCAGAGGAGAAAAGTAGGTTAAACAAAGTAGGTTAACTCCAATGGAGGAAGTATGCTGGGAAGACAATCTTGGCAGTATCCCAGTTTATTTAATCCCATGCAAAGAAAATATTGCCACCATATTTTGTTTACATCAGTAGGACTTTATATGGCATAGAGATGTAGACTTTAGTACATAGTACTGTCCTTGGTGTGTGGTAGATGCCCAAAAAAGTTTGATTGATTAAGAAATATTTGGGGGACTTAACTTTTCATTGGTATTACTGGTACTTTTTGTAAGTCACTGAAGAGAAACTGTAATGTATCTTTTTGTTATGTTGGCTTGGTAATATTTGCTTTTTGAACAAAAACTTTTATAACATAAAGTATATTTATATATCACCTTTAAAAATTAAATGTGATGAAAATGCAGGTTTTACAAATAAATATTCTATAGGAAGTATTTAAAATTATTTTTGAAAAAGGGAGGATCTTTCTTCTTTACATACAAGAAGTATAAGAAGAAAACACCAACAGGTAATATTTTGTTACTATTCTCAACTGATACCAATTTCTAAGCCACTGCATTCACATCCTTGCCCGAATCTGTGAGACACACACATGTGGGGGATTCTGTGAACAATATACAGGTCTCTCATGAGCCTTTAATGACAACCAGCTTCCCCAAATTCAGGAAAAGTCCATACAGAATTATAATGCAATTCAGTGGTGTCAGGAATTGTACCTTTTAAAATTTATTTGCTTGTTTTTTATTTTGTTCTTATGAAAGATTTTATTCTATTTTATAAAATCCTTCATAAGAACAAAATAAAAACCAAGCAAAAGAATAAGTAAGGAGATTTTCAGGGTTTTACTTACTGATAATGTACGAGATGACACTAGAAGTACGAATGCACTTTGTCTACAAATTCACCTTGGTATGTTTTTTTCTGCTCCTACTCTCTGCTTTCTTTTGTCCACTTCTGCTGAAGCAGGACATAGGCAGCAAATGACACCATGAACTGCACTGCAAAGTGAAGTACAGATAGAACAGAATGAAGTGTTAAGGGTTTCTTTTTAAAATTCACTGGGCATTCGCATCCAACTTTACAAATCAATGATCAGTGTATGCAGTACTTCAATCAAAGAAGTGAGGAAATGCATTAAGGGGTGTCAGAAAACAGATTACTAGGGCATCACTCCAGAGCCAACAGTCCTGTGAAATGGCAAAATTCAACTGTGAAAAATAGTTCTTGGAGACTTATGGTGTGTGCTTCTAAATATTTTTTTAATTGCAAACTACTACATAAAATACTTGGCATCATTCCTGATTTTTTAATGTTGAATATGTAATTGTTGTTATTATTATTTGTGATAGATCCAGAAACAAATATTGAGATAAAGGAAAATTTGGTTTTGGTGTTTGATTGTTCCTCCTTCAAGTCCGAGGCTTGATTTGTAGTTTGAAGGAATAAATGACATTGGAATAAATCGAATCTGTTTAACACAAGATATGTTAAATTTGTATTATATATAGGTTTTCCGAACAGGAGAAAAAGAAGCTAGAGGCTAGGAGAAGTATGGGAAAAGTATAGACACTGAATTAAACCCAGACACCACACGATAAATTGCATGTTGAGGTCCCTACCCACTTCTCCATCTTCATCTCCTCCACCACAGGAGTACCTTTTTAAGATTGTAACTTGTGGAGTAGCTGACCTAGGTTAGTTTGGGCTGTGCATTAGTCCATTTTCATACTGCTATGAAGAAATACCTGAGATTGAGTAATTTATAAAGAAAAAAAGGTTTAATGGACTCACAGTTCCACATGGCAGGGGAGGTCTCACAATCGTGGTGGAAGGTGAAGAAGGAGCAAAGACACATTTTACATGGCGGCAGGCAAGAGAGTGTGTTCAGGGGTATGTAAAATCATCAGATCTCGTGAGACTTATTCACTGTCATGAGAACACCATGGGAAAATCCATCCCATGATTCAGTTATCTCCCACAGAGTCCATCCCACGACACATGGGAATTATTACAATTCAAGATGAGATTCAGGTGGGGACACAGCCCAAACCATACTAGGCTGCTATAACAAATTAAATAGACTGGGTGGCTTAAACAACAAACATTTATTTTTTACAGTTGGAGGCTGGGATGTCCAGGATGAAGGTGCTGGCAGCTCTGATGTCTGGTGAGTGCCCCTTCCTGGTGTGCAGATGGCTGCTTTGTCATTGTAGCCTCACCTGGTGGAGAGAAGAGAGAGAGAGAGAGAGAGAGAAAAAAAAAAAAGTTCTTTCCTGTCTCTTTTTACAAGGGCATAATCCTATCATGACAGCTCCATCCTCATAACCTAATTACCTCCCATAGACCCTGTCTCCAAATACTATCACACATTGGATATTAGGACTCTAACATATAAAATTTTGGGGGCAAAATCGTTGAGTCCATAGCAGTCATACAGGGCTTCATGGCTGGTTTGGATGATTAGGATTGGATATTAGGACTCCAACATATAAAATTTTGGGGGCAAAATCGTTGAGTCCATAGCAGTCATACAGGGCTTCATGGCTGGTTTAATGTTCTGACATTACAGTTCTAAATTCTTATCTTCTATTATTCTTTTATCTTTGAATTTGTGTTTTGTAAGTTAAGTCCAAGGAATAAATGAAGCATGCCCGTGAACAGAAGAAATGCATGCCATGCCCGAAATCACTGTTTTTTGGTGTTCCAGTTTGTTTGCCCCATAAGCACAACATTTTGCTGAATTCATCATTACATGGGTGCCCAGTGAGACTCAAAGAGAGTACAAGTCAAGTGTATTGTCTACAACTAGTAGGTGGGGGCAAGGGGCGGGGCTGCTGACAGCTCTTGGAGGCCATCTTTTCCTATTGAAGCAGATCCTGCTTCTAGTGACAAAAGAAGTTAATAGCATTCTAAAAGACTCAAAGAGCCAAGAAACTCTATCATATCTTTTCTTACCCAAAGTTCTCTGTATTTGCCAATCATGTATACTGAAAAGGATGATATAGAAGGAAAGGGAAAGATAGAGCAGCCTGTAGTTCCTTTTACACTTGGTTCTTTCTCCTTATCAGCTGAAGGTAGAGAGAGGTAGTAGAATGTGTTTGTATCAGGAAGTGAAATAAAAACATTTCAGTTAGTTTTGTGTAGCATTTTTACAGTTCTAAGAATGGAATACATATGTATATATGAGCAATGAAATATAAATTGTGTAATTTCAGTGTTTTGCATGCAAGATAAATATTCATATTTGCATTTAAAAATTGAATTGCCCAATATAAAAATAAATGTTAAAATTCATGCCAGTAATTTGAATTTTTTTTTTTTTTTTTTTTAGACAGAGTCTTGCTCAGTTGCCCAGGCTGGAGGGCTGGAGTGCAGTGATGTGATCTTGGCTCACTGCAACCTCCACCTCCTGGGTTCAAGCAATTCTCCTGCCTCAGCCTCCTGAGTAGTTGCGATTACAGGCACGCCAACACGCCTGGCTAATTTCTGTATTTTTAGTAGAGACAGGGATTCACCATGTTAGCCAGGCTGGTCTCAAACTCCTGACCTCATGATCCACCCACATCAGCCTTCCAAAGTTTCCTTCCTTCCTTCCTTCCTTCCTTCCTTCCTTCCTTCCTTCCTTCCTTCCTTCCTTCCTTCCTTCTTTGCTTCTTTCCTTCCTTCTTTCCTTCCTTCCTTCCTTCTTTCTTTCTTTTCTCTTTTCTTTTCTTTTCTTTTCTTTTCTTCTCTTCTCTTCTCTTTTCTTTCTTTCTTTCTTTCTTTCTTTTTTTTTTCTGTCTTTCTCTTTCTTTCTTTTTCTCTCTCTCTTTCTTTCTTTCATCAACTCAGCAATTCTTTCCCACCTCCGGTATTTCCATCAAACTCTTTCCTCTCCCTGGAACATGTTCCTCCCTGCCCTTCACCGGGCTTGGCTTGTTTCCCATCCTAGTAAAAAGTCACATTGCTGTCTATCACTACCCCACATTGCTTGTCTCCTGGTATGCACTATTCATAATAATCTATTAATTCTCAATCTACTTTTTAAAAAAATATATTACTCAACACATTGTTAATGTCTCAGGAAAGGGGTATATATCTGTTATTCACTAAATGTGTATTCAGTGGACAGATTAGGCAACCAATCAATATATGTTAGGTGAACTAATTAATTAATGGAATTCAAATGGAAGAAAGTTCATACCAGATAATGTACAATTCCAGAGAAACGTCACTTCACAGCTTGAATGTCTTTAAGTAGGGATGCCAAATGAAAGTAGAGGATGCTCAGTTAAATATAACTTTTATTTTGTTTTTAAGACAGAGTCTCTCTCTGTCGCCCAGGCTGCAGTGCAGTGGTGGGATGTGATCTCGGCTCACTGCAACCTCTGTGTCCTGGGTTCAAGCAATTCTTCTGCCTCAGCCTCCCAAGTAGCTGGGACTACTAGTGTGTGCCACCATGCCCGGCTAATTTTTGTATTTTTAGTAGAGACAGAGTTTTGCCATGTTAACCAGGCTAGTCTCGAACCCCTGATCTCAGGTCATCCACCTGCCTTGGCCTCTCAAAGTGCTGGGATTACAGGTGTGAGCCACCGGGCCCGGCCTAAATGTAAATTTTTATTTGCTAAATCCCGCACCCTGTTCTGTCTTTTTATTATTAATAGTTATATCTGGCAACCTTGCCTCAATAAATAATTGTCAAAAGATATGAGTCTTTAAGTAAAGTGTGAGTATGAAAATAGTGCAATACAATAATTTGAAACTTGTTTCAGTTATGAACCCATCTAGGGCTCTGATAAAATCTATGTTATTTTCCTAGAAAATGTAAATAATCATGTATTTTGTAATAAATGTAAAAAATAAATGTAAAAAATCATACATTTTCCTATCTGGGAGAAAGTTTACAGACTCTCTGAAGCCCATCCTTAATTCCTTTTATCTTATAATCCCACATGTAAATTGATCTTTAAATCTCCTTCATTCATGTTTCCAGAATCACTTACTTCAAGCCATCATCTGTCATCTGGATTAATAGTGTCTTAAGTGGTTCTTTCTTTAGTCCTTATCTTCCTTAATTCACTTTCACATAGCTTCTAAACTAAAATGTTTCTCCCTAAACATAAATTTTGTTATGCCTTTCCCCTATTTAATATCATTGCATTACCTACAGAAAGAGTGTTTACAATAGCAGAGTAAATTTTGACTCTTACCTACTTGGTGATAACTCCTCCCCTTCCACTTCATTAGTGCACAGTCCTGGATTTTTTGCAGGTTCCCAATTCTACTATGCTGTTTACAACTCCATTTACTGTGCTTACTGTTCCTTCAGCCTGAAATGTACTCTCACCCCATTGTCTGCCAAGCAGCTGCTCCTCTGTTGAAGGTTTGCATGGATCTCCTCCCACCCCTAACACTACTTAAGGCTGACTCTGTGATCGTGTTTCCCCCTGTTCCTCATTAATGCACCACAATCAAAAGAAATTGTTTATTTATTAGTGATGTCCAGTAGTCTCTGTAATTCTCAGGGTAATGACTTTGTATTTGTATTTCCTGAACAGTGGCTGATATATAGTAGATACACAATACAATTTTTACAAATGAATACATACATGCTTATATGTGTTTAATGATTATTGTCATTACACACATGCAGAGATTCACTTGACATTTTTTGTCACCAAAAAGCAAAAAAAGTGGGTCGTGGCAGTTCATTGAATTATTTTTGTAAGAGACATTGCAATGAAGATAGTACAAGTATAACGCTTCTGAGTGCTTTGCTAAACTCTAAGCTTAATTAATACCTGTGAATATCTCATAACTATGACCTATCTTAGTCCTTTTGGACTGTTACCATAGACTAGGTTGCTTGCAAATAACAGAAATGTATTCCTCACAGTTCTGAAAACTGAGATATCCAAGATCAAGGCACTGACAGACTCGGTGTCTGGTGAGAGCCCATTTCCTGGTCTATGCATGTTGCCTTCTTGTTGTGTTCTCAAGTGGTAAAAAAGGCAAAGCAGTTCTTGAGGATATATTTTATAAGGGCACTAATCCCACCCCAATCCTGTGACCTTATTACTTAACTGCTTTTCATAGGCCCCATCACATTGGGGATTGGGTTACAACACATGAATTTTGTTGTAATAGACAGAAACATTCAGACCGTAACATGATGAATGGCTTTCTCAGTGAAAATAAATAAGTAAATATAACTTCAGGAAATGAAATGTAAATGTTTATATTACATCAAAAAAAAAAAAAAAAGGTAGGAGCTGAGCACAGTGACTCACACCTGTAATTCCAGCACTTTGAGAGGCTGAGGTGGGTGGATCATGAGGTCAGGAAATCAAGACCATCCTGGCTAATATTGTGAAACCCCATCTCTACTAAATATACAAAAAATTAGCTGGGCTTGGTGGCTGTAGTCCCAGATACTCAGGAGCCTTAGGCAGGAGAATCACTTGAACCCAAGAGGCTGAGGTTGCAGTGAGCCAAGATCACACCACTGCACTCCAGGCTGGTCAACAGAGTGAGATTCCATCTCAAAAAAGAAAAAAAGTAAATGCATATTTTTCTTTCTTTTTGTTTTCTAAATGCTAAATTCCATAAGAAACATGTTTATCTAATAAAATAGGGTATATTTGACTTATTACAGAAGTACGACTCAAATAAACTGGAAGTATATGTGAAGAGTTACTTTTAACAATAGCAGGGTGAAGTATGAATGCAATGATATCCTGTCAATATTGCTTGCCATGTTCAAGACAACTGTTCATAAATCAAGCTATAAACTTTCTGTCATAAGGAATAAGTATTGTTTCTGATTAAAAATGATTTTTAGTAATAAGTTACTTAGGACTACATATTTATTACAAAATCCAAGCAGTATATATATATGTAAAGTTAAATGTGAACCGTCTCCTCTTAGTGGAATCCCCTCACACTCCACATTTTCACTGCCTTCCCACGATGCATAATGGTGGCACTGCTAGTATTGCATTATGCTATCTAACTTGAAGACTTTCTGTTTTGCATATATATTTATGTCTCTCTAAATATGGTTTTTTACACAAACAAAATTATGCTACACGTCTATTTATAAAACTCTCAGTGAAATCTTCAGTGAACACTTGTAGCATTACATTTGGAATATACTCTCTCTTTTCCTGGTTTAATGCAATCTAATGGTCTCCGGGAATCCACTCCAGTTTCCTTCCTACCTCCCAGCACTCTGGAAAAGATTGACTCACCTATGCTTCCTGGGCGGACCTTGATTGTTTTATCCAATGAGCATATCTCTCCTCCAGGCCACAGTGACTGGCTTCGAGGTGGGTTCTAAAACCATCTGATCCAGTAAGAAAGGGGTGACATGATCAAGAATCATGAGAAGCTGTAATAGGCTCTTTGTAAAGTCAGGGGGTGAGGCCTTTCCCAAACTAGATCTGATTTTTATGTCTTCAAAAATAAGCAATGAGGCAAGATTTTAGAACATCACTATTATGACATTGCCTAGTCAAAGTAATGTCACACACATTAACATATTATACTCTAGGTTCAGTGTGTTGCCTGTGAAATTTCTGTTTTTTAAGTATTTCCAAGCATGCCTGGCTACTTATTTCCAACACACATGTACACTTTTTGGCAGGTAGCCTGGAATTTTACTTCAAAGGAAGAAGAACATTCAGCTCCTTTTACAATGACAGAAAAAAAAAATGACTGGTAGGGTTACATTTAATCAAAACTTCGTTACCTAATTTGAGATGGGTTTAATGAGTCAGGTCCTTCTCTAACCTTTCTGACCAACATTAAGTAAAAAATTGAGGCAATTATTACCTGAATGTTTCAGATAAGAAACACAGGTTTGATTTATTGTAAGCTTATGAACTGATTTTTTTTTTTCAGAAAAGTATCCATAGATCTTGGGGTGACTTTCTTGAGAGTTCCATTCTCCTCCCACCTTCTAACCTAAAGAGAAGAAAGTCATTATTAAATACAGAGTTTAAAGGCAACTCCAGGATTACAAAGAAGATGACCAAGTATCTCTCAGAAAAGACAGAAAAACCAACTCTTTCATGAGAGCTACCAGAAGGAACTCCTTTTTTCACAGGAAATGATCAAGGTGAGGGGAGTATGAGGTCTTATTGCTCTTGGAGTTACATAAGAAAAACCCACCTCAGTGCTCAACTGGCTTTAAAATCTTTTTTTACTTAAATAGTTTGAAATGAGTTTTTATCAATTGTAGTCAGAGAACTTACTAATGGAGAGCCTGTGATACAAAGATAAGACATGGCTTCTTATCTTCAAGGAATTTGTAATATAATAATAGAGACAGACAATGGGAAGGAGGATTGGAATGCAGGGTTTGGGTGGTGCAGAACAGACACCTAAAAGATTCACAAAGTTATCACAAATGAGCTAATGCCTGAAACTGAACCTTAAATAGACACTGGGGTTATGTGAATCAAAGGCAATAGAGAGGTTCAGGTAGACAGCAGGTTGTGAAAATGCATGGGAATGAGAGAGGATAGTGAGTTTAGGGATATTCAGAGAGTTATTCTTCATTCAAAATACATTGATTGAGTTCATAGATCTACAGGGATCTCATGATTAAAACAGATAAAGTTCTTGCCCTAGAGAATTTCACATTATAGTGTTGGTACCCAGAAAATAAATCAGCAAATAAGCATGATATGTAAGTAATTATAAGTCTTATAAGCAAAAATAAAGGATATTAAAGACAATTGTAGAGTAAAGTGGGAAGAAAGGTTCTGTGATAAGATAATGTGACAAAAGCTGCCAATGGTCTTCCAATAACCATGTTTTCATTTACCTTTAGACATAAGACATATGAGTTTTAACTGGCCACATAACCACACAGCCTAGATTACATTTCCCAGCCTTCCTTGCAGTTGGTGATTAAGCCGTAGCCAGTAAGATGTAAGTAGAAGTGACACATGCAACTGAGTACTCCCTTCCTTGCCTTTTCTTCTTTCCCAATGTGCAGAAGGTGAACATGGTGATGGGAGATGTATAGCTGTCCAGACCTCATGATGGAAGCTGCATTTTGAGGATGGCTAAGCAACATGATTGAAGATGTCTGAGTCTCTGATACCATGAAGCATCAACAACGGCTTTGGACCACTTATACTCTGAGATTCATATGTCAAAGAGAAATAAACTTTTACCTTGTTTCGCTTATTATTATTTTGATCTTTGTTAACAGCGACCAGATTTATATTCAATTGAATAAAGGTAACGTCTAAGCAGTGCTTGAAATAAATGAGGAATCTTGAGGCTTTACGAACAAAAAGCATTCCCATTAAGGGAATAGCAAAAGCAAAGGCCCTCAAAGGAATAATGTTTACAAAGGTTCAATTATAGCAAAGAAGCCAGTGTAAAAAGAGGGGGTAAACAAGAAGAGTCAATTGATGAAGTCAAGAGACTTACAGAAAGCCAAATCACTTAAGATCTCCTATTTCATGGTTAAAAACTTTAGATTTTACTCTGAGTGACACCAGAAGGCACTGAGGGATTTTGAGCAATTAGTACCATGATCTAATTTGTTTTACAAAGTCATTCTGACTGAAAAGTGAAGAATATTTTGGGGGGCAAGAATAGAACTAGTGAGATCAGTTCAGAGGTTACACCAACATCCAGTGAGTGCTAATGTGGCTTGGACAGGATAGGGAGCTAGGAATGATGTAACTTAAACTAAGAAAAAAAAAAAAAGTCAATAGGATTTGTTGCTGGTTTGATAACAAGAAAAGAAAAAGGTAAAAAAAAAAAAAAGCACTAAGGTTTGAGTTTTGGAAAAATGTAGGTGTGATTTATGTATATGAAAAGTCAGAGAGTAGGCAGTTTTGGAAGCTTGGATACCGAAAGCTTAATTTTGGCATATTGCATTTGAGGTGCCTCTTAGTCAACCAAATAGAGCTGAGAGTAGTCATCTGGGGTGAAAAAAGAAATCTGGAGTTTGAAAGAAAAGATCTCAGCTCCTGAGATACATTTGGGAAACATTAACATATAGATGGGATTTAAAGGCATGAGGCATAAGATCTGCAAGAGACTCAATGCAGACAAAGAGTTCTGGGGATAGTGCCCTGGAACACTGTGACATTTAGGAATTGGGAAAATGAATAGAAATCAGCAAATGAAACTGAGAAGGAGCAGCCGAATCAGGAGGAGGAGAAGCAGGAGAGAGTGGGCTCCAGTAAATCAAGGAAAGGAAGGGTTTCGGGAAAGAGTCAGTTATCAACTGTGCCAACTACTGCAAACAGGTCAGATAGCACTGAACATTGGCTACTGGATTTAGCATGTAGAGGTCTTTAAAGATCTTGGCAAGAGCAATTTGGATGCAGTAAAAACAAAAACTTAAATGAAGTGAGTTCAAGCAACAATAAGCAGGCTGAAGGAGAATGAAAGTTTTGGTTCCCTTTTTTTTTGATGGGCATTATTAGAAATTATTTTTGATGGCAATTAACAAAGGAATTGTTATTATTAACTCTTGATTTTTATGCTAATTAAAAAACAATCTAATAGTGAGGAAATGCAAATGATTTGAGAGAAAGAGGAGACAACTGTAGAAGTGAGGTCCTTTATTAGGGGAGACGTTTTAGTTTACATGTGGTAGAGTCGACCTTGGAACAAAGATGTTATCTATTATGACAGGAGGAAAAATGAAATATATGAGTATGGATATATACAGGTTTGTTAACTTGGTGATGAGGTCTGAATTTCTTGTTTACCCAGAAATGGAGCAAATCAAAGAGGACATGAGTCTTAAAATGCAGCAAAACCGAGAATTCAATGGAAATGGCAACTTAGAATCAAAAGTGAACATGAGATTCCCCCAAGATTACACAGAAACACTGGGGAAGCTATTGGATTTCTTTACCTGAAATCTGAATTGTTTTAAACACACAGATTCTCTCTCTCTCTCTCTCTCTTTCACTCACACACACACCAACACACACACACACACATTCCCCTTACTATGTAAAAATAAATATTTGATCTAAAGTCAGATAATCTGATACCAGTATTTTTTAACTGTAATACCTTGCAGAAAGCTTTATCTTCTTTCTGAGCTTTATTTTCATCAACAAAATAGAGGTAATATTATTTCTGCTTATAACTTATGAACACAGATCTAGCTATCAAAATCAGTTCTATATATCGCCATTTGATTTCCCATAGACATTCCAGATATTCAAAATTGAAATCCCTTCTGCTCTAATTTGTCCACCATATTTGAATGAACAGACACTGTCATGGATCAAGTCTCTCAAATCTTTCACCCCACAATATTTAACTTAGACGTCTCCTCCACTCTCCCACGATCTCAAGTTTGATTGATTAACAAGTCCTGAAAATTCTATTTTCTAAATACATCACTTTACCATAATTTATATTTTAGATAACTAAAGTCTAGGTCTTGGTAGGAAAGTAACATGAGTGCATATACTTTTCCTTGGATTTTGTTTTAATTTGGTCCTTACTATTTTCTTTTTCTTGAGAGAGTCTCACTCTACCACCCAGGCTGGAGTGCAGTAGCACAGTCTCAGCTCACTGCAACCTCTGCCTCCTGGGTTCAAGCAATTGTCCTGCCTCAGCCTCCCTAGTAGCTGGGATTACAGGTGCCTGCCACCACTCCTGGCTAATGTTTTGTATTTTTAGTGGAGACCAGGCTGGTCTCAAACTCCTGACCTCAGGTGATTCACCCATCTGGGCCTCCCAAAGTGCTGGGATTACAGTCATGAGCCATCGTGTCTACCTGGTTCTTATGGTTTTCTAAACGTGTTTGCTGTTGTCATGCTCTTTTTCCTCTTCCACAAAGTTTTGCTTTTGTTTCCTTACACTTAAAAAACAAAATCCTCAACTATTTCAGCATTTTATTTCATTTTTTGTATATAATTTCTAACCCTTTACTTAAAATATTTATCTACTAAATATGTGCTAATATATACTAACTGCCAAACGTCTTAGCTTTTGTTAGAGTTGTAGAGTATTGACCTTCAACTTTGGAAATGTGTTTTTGCATCTGGATTTCCTACTTGTACCTGCTTTTGAATAAGGAGTCACATAGCCTTATGAGTAATTGGATCTTTTGTGCAATTAGAACTTTTCCCTGTATTATAATTTATAGCATGGTTGAATTGAGCAATGTGTAATGAGTCATTTTTCTGAGGCTTTTAAGGAAGTTATTTCTGAAGGTCTGCCTAAGAGGCTAAAATATGTCTGAATTAAAAGGAATGACAGGCTGCAATCAGGACTGTAAAATAAAGGTGCTCAGTAAGCAGCCCTATTACAATCAGAAAGTGAAGGAAACGGATCTCTGTCTTGTGTGCAGAGGCAGAGGAAATGATGAATACCTTAGGTAACTCATTCTGTGCAAAATCAATCTTTCACTGTCAATTTTAAATGAACTAATTTGTTCACAAATCTGCTCAGTCAGTTTGGAAGCATACTCTGTTCCTTCATATTAGCAAATCCTTTAATCTTGACTAGTCCACTGAGTAAGAAATCTAGAAATGTGTTAATATGATTGGACATATGTAGTAGGATAAGAATTGATTCTTTTAATTAGTGTCTGCTCAAGTTAGAGTCCCTTTCTTGGCTGAACTATTGACCCACTAATATATCAAGAGATTATGTTATGACTAACATATATCCAAAGTTCAATTTAACTCTTTCATTATTGGCCAATATTGCAGTAAACTTGCTAGGACTAAATCCTTTATTTCTTTTTCAAGGACTGGTTAACTTTAGATGTTACATGAAAAGTAGCAAATGCATAAATGTCTGAACATTGTTTATACATCACAACATATCTACAAATTGTGCAGTAATACAGCGCTCATTGTTTTGTAAATGCAAATTATCATAGACTTAATTGTCATCTATTAAAATGAAATGATGTCCCATATAATTTCCTATATGAGCTTCACTTTTTAATATTTGGAATTTGTATGCAAATTCCTTCCATGGCATTATTGAATAATATGAGAAAGAAATTCAAGAAATATTGTATAATACAAGATTTTGTTATGAGATATAGAAATAGGGTATTCTAAGTATTATGATTCTTTTTGTTATTTTACATATATTGGTAGTTACTGAAAAGGCACGTGCATTTTGATTCAAAAAGAGAACAATATGAAAAGTCTGTGTAACATAGATGACTATAAAATCTAAGGATACATTTCAAATCTGGTTTTTTTTGCTTAAATACATTCATAACAATGTATTCTTAAGTGAATCACATCTGTCTATGTCTTTTAAAAGAAAATGTAGAATTATGTACACATATACACATTGTACAGTATTTTTAAAAATCCGTATTAAAGATTAAATAAAATCTCTTATAAATATATCAGTTTGGCTATTTTACCAGTTTTAAAAATATTTTCTATCACTTTAAACACTTAGAGTATTAACATAGTATTTAGCAATGCATTTGCTCATATATTTCGCACACACTATAGGGAAAAAGATTGAAGGTGTGAGTACCTTTTAAGTTATTTAGCAAATATTTATTTTACATCTTCTGAGTGTGGTGTCCAGTACTAGGTATTTTGTGGAATTCCAAAAGCTGTCTAATATAGTACCTGACTTAAAGGAAGTTATAATTCGAACTTTAATTTCAGAGTCTATGCATTGTCTTAATGTGAATACCGAGTTTAGGCTTTGCTCCAATCCGATATCCTTATCTTCTTCCTCAGAACTACTGTAATCATAGTCTTTCTCCTTCCACTTGTGGCAATTATATTCTTCCAGTTGATCAAACCAAAAACCTTTAGAATTGTCTTTAACCTCTCCCATTCCCTCTCATTCCAAGCCAGTTTGGTAGTAAGTACTATTACCACTATCTTAAATTTTATCCAGAATCAAAAGGTTGTACAAATGGGTAATTAAGAAAGCTCCCATAGGAGACAAAGCTAAGGGAGTAAGCATAAGGAAGAAGAAGATGCCTTGAAAGCATTCAGTTTCAGGGAGAGTCTCAGGAAGAAGATTGCGCCTGATTTCATAAGGGTGCCTCTGGCATAGGTGCTGGGCTTTCACATATTGATACCTATGCATCCTTTTCTAAACTTACCCTGAAAGATTGAGAATTCCTCAGCACTTCCAGCAATCTGAGCATGCAAGAGAGAACTGCTCCAGTCTCCTGAGGGCAGTCTTCCAGCTACAGCTGCAGGCCA